GAGGTGGATGACTTCAACGTCCTGGGGTTTTGGAATCGGCGGGGCACTGACAGCGTATGCTCGACGACTGGCAACGTCACATCCCCGGCAGAAATGCCCTACCTAGCGTTCATCGCTCGGTTGTTCCTCGGGATCGAGGCGAGCAGCTGTCAGGCCGAGCGGAACTTCTCGGCGCTCAGCCACCTGATCGGCCACCTGCGCTGCAACATGCTCTCACGGAAGGTTGAGCGCATGATGTTGATTCGGCTCAACAGGCACTTGGTGGACGAGGTCCGCGAATTGGACGCTGCTGTTTCCCTGGCACGAGCTAAGGCAGCCAAAAGCGCACAGAAATCAGTGGCCTGTCAAGAGGAGAGGGCGAACAAGTCGATTGACCTTAGCTTGTAGACGAGGGTACCCAAGTGCACTGTAGTCTGGGTTAGACTATGCAGGGTGAGAATTGATTGATCTTAGCGTTTTAGATGCTATCACGAATTGCCATGTGAAGTGTTGACTTCAATCTGTTGTCGTTCTACAACAAGTTATGCTTCTGTTTCCCGTGGCATTCGACGGATCGCGTTTTGGCGCACTCTTCTCTTTTTGCATTTTCTTCCTTCTCTAGGTTGCCTTTCGTTTGTCCATGAACAGCTCGATTTGACCATGGGTATGCATCGCATCGTGAAATCACGAAATCATATGGGAGATGCAGGCTCTCAAGCGTACATACAAGAGACAAAAAGCGACCCATCCTGAAAGAGAGGAAAGAGGTTCGCCGGTTGATGGGGCGCCAAGGGCACCGAAATGTAGTTTGGCATCGCCATATTTTATATTTTATATTTTATTTTTTGATATTCTGGTCTACTCGCAACCCTCGAAGGCGGTGCCGCCATATTTCAGTACCGCCACCAAAAAACCGCCATATTTGGCAGTACCGGGAACCGCCGGAGACGGTACCGCCATATTTCAGTACCGCCAGAAAAATACCGCCGAAAAAACGAAGTACCGGGAACCGCCAAAAAAATACCGCCACTTTGCAGTACCGCCAAAGGCGGTACCGCCGGAAAACGAAATACCGCCAACCGCCAAAAAAATACCGCCACTTTGCAGTACCGCCCCGCCTGGATCCGCCTAAAAAACTAGTACCGAGGTGTACCCTGAATTTTTTGGGTCCTCCAAAAAGGCATGTACGTCCCGTGTGCACCAATGGGAGGAGATGATCACTACTTGTTGTTTGGAATATTAATAGTGAGATTTGACCCCCTTAGAATCAATCACCTGTAGGCTGTGTGGGACTGTCTGTGTCCGACCACGGATGGATGCAGGTTGTTGTGACTTGCCTTTGTTCTATCCTGGTGATGAAGGCTTTCTCGTTGTCTTCCAAAGCAACCCAAGCCAACGCACACAGATCCCGAGGCACACGACCAAACCCGATCGCACGCACACACGCACACGAACAGATGGGCACATTCCTCGGCAGGCAAGACTCGGGCTTTAGGCCGACTCGGCATCAAGCCCGAGTCTTGCATGACGTCACTTCACAGCGTCACTAACAAATAGCCATGGTCAAGCATGATCACAGCACGATCACATGTCTACCTCCAAAACCCAAGTAGGTGTCTTTACATTACGAAACCGTTTCGATCTCTCTATCGAGTACCTTCATCTGTCCGTACTAGTCTAACACCTGACGCGGTCGATTCCCGTGGTCCCCAGGCTCATTCACCCAAGAAAGGTACCCAAATTGGAATAATTCCATAATTTTATGGATCCGAAGGGTCCGCAAGTCAGTAGAAATCAACGACAGAGAGTCTGGAATCCTCCGCTGGCCTCTACACGCTACGCGAGGTGGACAGAGACTGAAAGTCAACATTACGGGTCACAGGGGTAGGCATGTTCCCTAGTTCAATATTGGTATTTCACAGAAGAGAGAAGCCCATCTGGAAAGGGAAAAAAAGGAAATAAACATGAAACATCAGGGAAAAAAGATAAAGGCGTTACACTAGAACCGCTACTGCTGTACCGACGAAACAAACAAAGAGAGCCAACCAGAGACGGCAAAGGCACGTCAGCGCTCGTGGGGATTGGTGCAATGTTGCAGCGATGGGGAGGGGGGTGTGTGCTCATCGTCGTGCATGCCGTGGTCGTTAGACCATTGACCTCGCATCCCTACAAAGCCGGGACGGAGCACGCCGGGTTCTCACCGGACCAGGCTCTCACATCACCAAGCGCGAAGCGCCGTGAGATATTCGGCGAGTCGCATGAAGGGTGCGCTGCAT